CAGATGATGTATAAATCTCAATTTTGAAAAATTGACCCTTATGACTGGTTTTGTGGTCCAGGGTCACAAATGTGTTTCCTTGTTGATTGCTTTAAGTATTTTAACTTTTTGCACTTTCTTGATTTCTGGAAACCTTGTAAAATTGATTTCCGTCAATTGTGCTGAGAGATCACGACGTGTTGAATCTTGTGAAAGAGACTAACAATGTACCATTTAAGAGTTCTGTATATAAATGACCTCTATGCATTAATATTTTACGTTTATTTCAAAGCAGCTTGCATTGCATTTAAGGTTTGTTCAGTTCATGCACTCACAGGGAATCAAACCCAAAGTTTTAAAGTTGTTCATCCATCCATCCTCTATACCCGCTTTATCTTACGTATACGTAAATAATTTGTTAATGGTTGCATAACGATAAAGCTTTCTGAATATTTTAATGGTTTCTGACATTTTAGGGAGCTTTTGAATAATATTAGGTCAAAAATGTTTTGTAAATGTATGATTATCAGAAGTCTCATGGTTTTTTTGTATCATTAAAATTATTTAAAAATGTTTTAGTATTTTGCAGAAGTTGAATATATGTACTTTGCATCATATGCTCAGTTAAGTTCTTTAATTTGCATAATGTACAATTTGCAGTCTTTATTTTTAATAAAACTGAATATGTGAGGCCAGTTTTGTTTTGAAAATTTTGGAATATTTTGCATTAGTTGGATATATTTACATTGTATCATTTATATTTGATTAAGTGCTTTTATTTGCAAAATTACAATTTGCAATCTTTATTTTTATGATTTTATTTTTTTTTAATAAAGCTTTAAATATGTTAGGCCAAAATTGGTTTGAAAATTTCTGACTATTTTGCGGAAGTTGCATATATTTGCATCACTCTAACTTAATTTAGTGATTTTATTTGCATAATTACAACTTGTGTCCTTTATTTGAATGACTTTAATTTTTATAAAACCTTGAATATGTAAGGCCAAATTTATTTTGAAATCATATGAATATTTTGCATAAGTTATAAATATATTTACTTTGTATCATTTATGCTTAAATGCATTGCCATCTTTATTTTTATGACCATAATATATTACTTTTGCTTTCTGTGCTAATGATTTATAAATGATATAAGCCCAAAAAAAAAAAAAAATTTCTAATAAACTGGATGTTATTATTCAGATAAATGTCATCACTTTAACTAACTTTCACTGCAAGTTTAATTTCAAACCATGAGCTGGAATCTGACCACTGAAGAAGAGAGTTTACACTAATGCCTGCTATAGCGCCTCTTGTGGCAGTACTGAGAATGCAAAATGTACTTGCATTGCATTGATGTGAATTGCTGTCTAACACATTTCTCAATGCAACAATGCATAAGTTCGACCTTGCGAAGTGCCTGCATGCATATTCAGCACTTCAGTCAAACATCAAACTCTAAACAAGCAACAGACCATCACCAAACATCTGCTCTTCACACTCATACTGAAGTGAATACATCAGAGTCTGAAGTGTTTTAGGCAGACCAACAAACAAACGGAAGTAAGAGGCAACAAGCTCATTTCACGCTTGTCACTCATCCCCCTGTAACCTGAATGGTTCCTCCTGCTCAGATTTGGACTCTTGTGTTTGGAGGTGTGCATTCAGATGCCTGCAGGGGGAAGATAAGACACGTTATTCTGCAGGTACTGGAGAAGAGGTCAGTCAAGGCTTGGAGCAACCACTCCATTCTCCAAAATGAGCAATCAGACGGCTTGTTGTAGTTTGATACCGCAGTTATTTGGCAAGCTTATGTAAAGCAACGGCCATAGTAAGGTTTAATATACTGGCAGTCAGGCAGAAAAACCTCAATCTTTCCTCCAACTGTACTGCAGGAAGATTAAATGGAGAACAAATGCGACAGAAAACAACAATTGCATTGGATGAGGTGATATTTACATACAGTATAAAACAATGCGCGCAAAGGTCTATATTGTTTGCGATGAAGCTGCTCTTTTCATACAGCTATATACTGTATATATATATAGACCCCAAAACATATTTTAAATGTATGCTAAATATAAACAGTGAACCTTCAACGTTCATATACTAAAATATATTTTAAAATGTATTTTAGTGGCAGAAAAATATATTTCCAATCTTACCTACTGTATTTTCCTGCCACTAAAATTCTACATATATGTGTTATATGTTCACACATTATAGATGTTTTTCTTCAAGTGTGACATATTCAGTATTATTTTAGCATCAATGAGATACTATTTATTAAATATTTAATATTAGATTTTAGTTATGTATTTTTTTACTTTCATGTTGATTTTAAAGTTTTAGTAATGTTGTTGTTTTTGTCATTTTTATTCGTTTTCGATGTCTTTAAATATGTCTATATAGTTTTTATTAAATTTTATTTGATTTTTTATGTAAATCACTTTAAGGAGTCAAATATTATTGATCAGAAGATGCTCCTAAATTTTTTAACTAAGTAAGCATAGAGTCCTGTTAAAAGCTTGTTGAAATTCTTTTGTGCTGCTTTCTGAAAACCTTTGGGAAACGAATAATGAGACGTCTATTTCAATAACAGCATCTGCATTCATATGGAGATATTCTGCCCCAGTGTGTTTATAATGAATCATGTCATAATCACAGAGCTTTCAGGTCCTTTTGTTTGATTTTCAGCGTGAGTTGAAAATCTGAGGGAAAAACACATTAAGTTGGATTCTCCAGATGTTCATTAGAGAGCTCAGGCCAAAAAAAAGGAAAAACTATAAAACAAGTCATAACATAATGAGAACTGGAGCTGTCATTGCTTAAATGTTAATTTGCTGCTGCTGTAGCTAAATCAAGTCTGAAATCTCAACAATCTCTGACACTTACAGGAACATTGTAAGGAAAAATGTGTCCAGCCACATCAAATGTCTTAACTAAATGCTGTTGTTCACTATCTCAGTCATAGATTATGTTAAAATCTACTATTTGTTTATTGGTTTTATAGTTGCACAGTGACTCGTTATGCAGTTACATCGATGAGCCAGTAGGAGGCGACAAGTGACTGTTTAAAAGTTACAATCATTCACTCAACCGATTCGTTCATAAACATGGAGAAGCACACAGTTTAATTATTCTGTAGCTTCGTAATTCATTGCTTTATTTATTTAAAATCCAATTTTGTATAAAAGTGTCTTCACGTTTAAAGTCTGACT